ATTCGCCCTCGAGGTTTAAACGGCAGCGCGCGTCACTAAAAAAATGATTAGAACTTACAGCCGCCGCCGAGCCGTAATCCCACCTGCAAGATTGCGACGGCTGTTAAGCGATAAACACAGCGTTATAATATTATATTATAAAATAGTGTGCCTTAGTATCGAACAAACGGACGTGGAAATTCTAATTGGAATATATATACGTACGACCCCCGAGCGGAAAATTGCAGTATAAATCGTACGCAAAACATAATGTAATAATATATCGTGTACGAGTCGTATACCTATATGTTAGGTATAATATCGTACCTCCGCGGATAAATATGTCCATAAATTTTCGACTAAAACGCTAAAACGTTGAACTAATAAAAACTGAGGGTATTATCATAATAATATTATACATACGGACAGGATTTTAGATATAGTCGAACCCCCCCCCCCCTATCCACCTCCCCATCCTACGCAACCAGCCACGGTCGTCGCACACGACGTTTATTCCGTTTATTATTATTATTATTATAACGTGTATACAACAATTGTTGATTTAATCGTGTCTCGTAGGGTGGAAATAAATTAAATTAGAAACTAAAATTACAATCCAAGACAACTAAATTATATTGCAAACGGTGTACGTGTATTATATTATACAGCGTTCCAATAATACAGTTACGGGTTAGAGTTGGGTGACACTAAATATTTGTACGAGACCATTATACAGGGTGATTCGCCGAGCATGCGAATTCCCTTTTTCATCGGTAAAGCAGTAATTCAAATCTGACTTATGGAATTTTGAATTTTATACTTAAAGACTAAAAGACTATATTTAAGATTCTTGAGAATTTTTTTAGTTACTACAAAGAGTGTCCAGTGGAGATATTATAATTTATTAAAAGTTCTAAAAATTTGAATTTGAATAATATCGTAATCGTTATTAGAGGAAAATATGGGGAATGAGCATGCTTTGTGATATTGTATAGGTACGTTTCTTTTTAATTTTTCCATTTTTTTTTCGTTTCATGATATACTACGATAGATATTTTTGGAAGATTTAAAATTTGGAATTTCGATATAACAGTTTTTACAAATTAGAGAAAACGTGAATTTTCGCAAACATCCTTTTTTCAACAAAATCAATTTAAGTGTTTTTGTTGTAATTAAAAAAAAAATAAAAAAAATATTAACCAAAACTACAATAGTCTCCGGAAAAAAATAGTTCTTTAATATATGAAATACTAAATCTGATATAAATGTATAATACATTAGAATCAAAATTTCGATTTGCTCACATTCATGCAATTTTAAATTGCACTACACACTTACTTTTAAGTTAAAATAAGGCACCACAATAATAAAAAAAAATGTTGTGCGGTGGCAATAACTTTGGCGATAGCGAATTGGAATCTTTCCAAAATGTACAAATCACAATAATACCTCCCTTACGAAAAGAACTTGATTCAAATCATTCCTGTGTATAATATAATATTATATATTATTAAACACGTACATGGGTGCAACTATGGGACCAAGAGGTCAATGACTCCTTCTGTAGAACTGACAACACACATTCATATTTCCATATTTTTTTTTAATCTAATAATTTAATAATTATAAAGATAATTTAAAAAACATTTAAAACGATTTAAATCAAAAAAATAAAATCTATATTCATGCTTAGGCATTTTTAATAGATAAAGTGATATATATAATTATATAAAAATTGAGTAATGTACCTAATATATTCTATGTACTATACATTACACCATCTTTAAATAGTAGCTTAACAATATACCCAAGTGATGGTTTATGATCCTTGTACTTATAATATTGTTTAAATGTATTGCTTGAATGAATGCGATGTGATGAATGTCGCTATGATCTGTTACTGGTAGGTGCACGATAACTGCCTATCGTTGTATATTGATTTATAATTTTTTTTAAAAATACCACCTGACCAGTTGAGTGTAGAGGTACGTTTTGGTATCGATATTTATATAATGGTCTCGTTTCTCAGATAAAGTGATTCACCACCACAAGATATGGTGGACTTGGGGGGGGTGTTGGGTGTACTCGGGCACCTCCTGAATATTGAAAATAGGGCCCTAAATTTTTGCCTCTGAGGAGGGGCCATATTTTTACTTTGGATATAAATGTATTTTAAAACATGAGATGTAATAACAATTATCTTAAAAAAAATTAAAAGAAATTTAATTTTTAAACGCCTCGCGATCATCGATGCGCATATTAAGTCATCGGTCGATAACAAAAACAACTGTACAAAATCGTATGTGTGACGGTGTGCTATATAATATTTTAGTATATCCAAATAAATATATGCAAACGACAACAACGTGAAATAGATGTACGAGTTTTGTGCCCTACTGCATGAACGCAATCGAGTGGGCGGCGGTGCATCGTCGTCGATCCATTTCATCGCTACTTTGTTACGATTTTGAAGCAGTGTGCCGAGTTATTTAACCGTGATTGTAGTATCGATATCTAATATTATTACTAAATAATATCTCACGATCGATCTACAAGATCATTCACAGTGCAACCTCTCACCCCTCTTTTAAATTTAATTTATTCAAATTTGAATATTTGGAAATTTTAGTACACTCAAATTGAGTTAAGCATCATATTCTTAAATACATAAAACTTAGATTTTGTTTATACTATTTAAGGATTATCCCGTAACAAAACAAGCTTATTTTTTAAATAAAATATAATACTCGTATGTAATAATTGGCTTATAGTAATGATTATACTAAAAACAAGTTTTACATGTTTTAATAAATATATATCTATTAAAATAAGTATAATTATCAGATAGCCACGATATTTCCAATATTTCCTAAACCTATTATCATGAACTATCGTCCTTAATACTTAAAGCTTAATAACTCAAAAAACAAATTTAGATTTATAATTTAAATAGGCACACGAACATTAAAAAAACAATTATATTATCCTGACCACAAAAAAGAGTGGTTCACATTTGAAAAAAAAAAATTGTATCACTGCAAGACACTCCGTAAATTGTATACCTACAAATCCGAGTGAGTATTTGAAAATTCTTATGTACGCTTATACATTATACATTTACAAAAATTATAATTTAAATACATTTAGTATTGAAGGAAAAAATGAGGGTGAGCTTGGTGAATCACTCTGTCAACATAGTCGATCGTAGATAAAACGTGCTCACCCTCCGAGTGCGGACGCTTGTCGTACATTTGTTGGTACATACCACGTGTTCCGGCTCGTACTCCTCACTATGGGAGTCATCCCGTTTTTGAAAAGGTTGTTTTTATTGCTGATGTTGACGATGTTGAATATAACGTTCTGAAAACACGAACGTTAAATCAATTGATTTCCAATGGAATATAGCCATGGGCGTAACTGGAACCAATTATTTTTCAGGGGTAGTAGCGGTTTTCCCTCGTATTTTTACTTAAATAATGTGTGTGGAAATGTCCCCTACAAACTTAATTTATATTTTGTAAGTGGCTTATGATAAATATGCATATTATTTACATGCGTAGGTGTAATTAAATTTTTAGTTTGATAAAAATATTCTGTCTTTTAAACTATGTAAATTCAACACTTTTTTTAATAATTTGAAAAAATGTCGACAAAAATTGTAAATAGGCAAATTTGAGAAACAGTCTAATTGCAGCATAGGTACTCGTTTTTAGCCAAGTTGCCTCTTTGAAGAACATAATAATATGTCCATGATTTATTGTCCAACGTAATATAATTCTATATCTAAGGGGTTAAGCCGCTTATGTGGATTACGCACTTGATCTTGTCTAGTGTTTTCCACTACGAAATTGAACCACAGTCTATGCCGTGGGTTGCAGGTGTCCGGCCGTATGAACAGATCGTATTCGTATTCACACACCAAATCGATCCTCCCCAAATTTCCTGGAACATACGTAAGGCAAATATATCCAAATGCAATATTACGACGAATGAGTTGACTGCTTTAAGTAGGCCGGATTGGGCCAGTGAGCTACCGAGAAATTTTCTGCAGGCTTCTCAAAATATGGGCCAGTAAACAAGACAATGACAGTCCAACCTCGCAGTGTTTGGGAATTAGTGCATAACTCAAATTACAATAGTTAGATGCTGTGACAAAATTACTTTCCACGAAGGCGGGACCCGTTTCACCCAAAATCAACCTTTCCTGTTTAGACCAAAGCTATTTTAGTCGTTTTAAAATTAAGTTGACAATGGTTTTTAAATAATATAATAATATATCATTATATTTTGCTAACATGTTGGTGCTTTGCAGTCATTGCAAAAGCTTTTTAAAAAATGCATACTTATTCAATTATACATTATTACAGTTATAACAGAAATTACAAATTATTATTGTCTACACTCTACTGAAAACTATTAAAAAAAATCATTACACAATATTATAATAAATCACCCAATATATATAAAATAATATTTAAAATATTGTGTAATTATTTTTTTTAATAATTTTTGGTAGACAATAATAATTTATAATTTGTTATATAACTGTATTAATGTATGATTCAATATGAATTTTTTAAAAACTTGTGAAGACAGTAACAATTTTAGTAAAAAATAATGATATATAATATTATTATTTAAAAACCATTGCTAAATTAAATTTAAAACGACTAAAATGGCTTTAGTCTAAACGGGTATTTGGATGAAACGGGAAAGGTTAATTTTGGGCGAAACGTGCGGCGTCCTTTCATGTAACTATAACTTGTTATATAGTAGCTAAGTTATTTGTAACTTTGTAGCAAGATTACTTTTTTGAATGTAAACTTTATGGTAACGCTTTATATATTTATTTTTCTTAGGTACACATTTTGTATTGTGTCTTATATTTTCTTATAATATAATGTGTTAAAAAAGAAACTATTAGATACCTACTGCCTACATTATTATTTATTATTGAAGTATTAAATATTATGTAAAAGAATAACAGTGTGCTTCTGAAGATGTTATCATTCTACACCACACACACAATATGTTACCTATATTAGACGTTTTGTCTGAACATTTTTTTATGAAAAGTCTGTGCCCTTACAATTTGTCCTTTCGAAAATGCAAAAAAACCCACAGTATTATATTTCTGGACTACCAACTTTGTATAAAAAAAACAAGGCGAGGTTTATTAATTATCGTGAAGCCCAAATTTATCTTGACTCTTGTGGAAGTTTCAACCTCGTGTGTTGTACCTATCCTACTAACGCAAAACGTGGCAAATCTTACGTTAAGAAAAATACATTTTATTCTGGAATATTTAATATTAGAATTAATCAAGATTTAAGATTGTCACATCAACAAACTTTAAGATACGAGTAGGTAATATCTAGGGCATGTTATTAGGATTTTTTTTTATATTTTAATTTTGAAGCAAGTTATGAGCATTTTAAAATCAAAAATTTCTTTACGTACAATTTACCTTGTTAATATGTTATGCATTAGTTTGATAGAGACAACCCATTCGAGTGAAACATGTTCTTAACTAAGAGATCTCGTAAGCCTTTAGTGTAAATGTGATTATTAATAATTGTCAAGTGATTAATAATATGCCAGTGGCTTATAATAAATATAAATGAACATAACTAATCAACGAATTAAAATTTTATTTAAACATCTGACTTACGTTTTCTGTCTTTAAATTATATTATATTTCAAGTATATTGTCATTCTGCATTGACAACGCCTATTTTCAATATTGAAAATAACTTAATTTGAGTGGAGTTGCAGCATACTTATCCAATATTTTTCCTCATCGAATAAAACATTTTTCCTGACTAATTTTCATATATTTAGATTGCTATGAAAAATGTTTGGTTAAGCTTAGCTTCTCAAATAGGTACCCCACTCTATCACGCCTATGTGCATACTTTTATTAAAACAGTTAGTTGTGCCATGTGGTTTGTTAATGACGAGAGAATCACGATTATTAGGTACAATTGAACACATTTATATAACATGTTTCGTATTCACATATATATCTGATTAAAAATAAGTTGGTGAGACGTGATAAAAAAATACTAATATAAGTTATTACTTATTTGTAATAACTAACAATTTTCACTATCTATTAGACTAGAAAAAATATTCATTCAATTGAAAACCATTAACTATTTTGCCGATCAAAGACTAAGGGAAAAATGTAGGATGCCTATTATAGGAATAGTTGTTGGCATTGTTGTTATTGTGCGTATTTCATAATCTCTAAATTTATTTATTAACTTTGTGACCTGCCAGTGACATGTAATTCAAAGAGAAGTATTTAACATTTCATCGCACTAAAATTTTATTGTACCCGAATACCTACGCAATGTTCCTTGTACTTAACCATGAAACAATATTATACATAGGTATAGCCAAAAAACTTTTTAAACTTTTTAGTAGGGAACTCGTCTGTGCAAAACGAATAAATTAATGTGTTTACCAGAATTCCTACACATTAACTAAAATAAAAAAAACCTACGAAATGAAACTGTTGCTACTGTTGTATAGTAACCATTTAATTTATATTATTCTAAAATGGTATACGCGTTATTGATTATTATAATTGTTATAATAATAATAATAATTAACATCAATAGCTAATAGTAATAACTCGTTTACTTGTTCTTAATACGTTTGCCAAGACAGTAAAGATAACAATTAGTTAACATATATTAAATGTATTGTTGTATCAAGCATAACATTATTTATGTAAAGATTAATATATACATAGACACATAGTATATATATTAATATAACACAAAGTCTGGGTACATATTGTTATATATGTTGTTACCTGTTGCCATACATAAACATTATTATAGAATCAAACTATTAACTAGGTTAAGCAAACATTGATGTAATACGTAACTGAATTTAGCATTAAGTCTTATAGTCAGTAAGGTTTAGTAGACTAAAGACAAAATGTAGAAAAACAGAAAGTAAATAATTGCATAATATATCATAGGAAATTTTGATTTTATTGTCCTGCTTATTTGTTTACAAAACAAATACTAAAACGTAGTGTAAGTATACTTTTTGAAATTACGAGATGTTTTCGTTGTTAAAATATTCACTCTGTATGGTGTACCTGCCTACTATGTTAGCTCGTTGTGCATTTAGACTTTAGACCATTTTATCGATTGTGTATTCATAAGTATAATATTATTCATATATTTCCCCTAACAGATATTTGACGGTTTTGTATAATATGCCGTTTGTTAAACTTTAAATAATTACGGTATTGCTGGTATTGTTATACAGCTATACCTAATCTAACCTATATTACACACGATACCATATAATTTATTAATGTCGCGTTGTTTATTGGTTGAATATTTATATTTCTTATTTACGAATAGTTCACATTAAACGATGGGTACATATGGCGCACAATATTATGGACTATAGTGCACAGTAAAAAAAAAATGTGTGCTCCATGCAAACGGGGAACACATTAAACAACATCCATTTCACCGATCTAGTAAAATTAGACTTAGTTGTTTGGACCTTGGGACAATTGGACATAAAAAAAACAACATAATAATAATAAATAAATCAATAAAAATATTAGAAGGTACCTATAGAAGAAATGAAAAATTAAAACACATAACCAAAAAAATATATTTATATTATAATATGTCAAAAATAGATCAATATTAAAATGTTTAAAGATTAATTTATTAAAAATACGTACTGTTAAAAAATAATGTATTATAACATTAATTTTACTCCTATTATTGTTCCTATTTGTCGTTTAGTATACTGTATGAATAACAGTGCTAGTACGTATTGGGTTTCATAATATATATATTGGTGGATATTCTTCTATTTGCGATTTGCACTTAGAAGTCAGAAATCTAGGGTTGCCAATTGCCATTTGTTCGAAATTATAATCCAGGACAACTGTAATGACTCCAATGATCCCCCTCCCCTAATCAAAATGTTCAAGTCACTAAGCTGACCTTTGTAACTTGTTACATAATAATACACCTATAGTGTGCCAATTAGCCCACGTCTCGAAGATGTATAAAAATAAACTTATTATTTTATTTCTGATAACAATCAATAAATATGTATATATAGTATATAGTGAAAATTAAAACATTTTAGAATTCAATAATTTTGATGTCTAGAAGTGAAAGAAAATTAACAATTTTACAGTATAACATATGAATTACATTATAATAATATTATCTTGATTTATTTGTACCTATAGATAATGAACAAAAAAAATAAATATTATTGAAGACATAAACAGGTACTACCAAACATTGTTCCCTCGAAATTTAATATTTGTTTCTGATATTTTATTTGTTTGAGACACATAGATCGCAAAACAGCACAATAAATTATCCAGTAAATGCGCATTACAAATTCTTCCAAGGCTATTTTTGTAATTTAAGTGTCCGTTTTAGTGGATATTTATGTCTTTTTAAATGTTTATCTTAAAGGCATTTAAAAAGGTCTTTTTTTCAGTATATATAAATATACAGCTCAATAGTAATAACAAATTATAACACTTAATTAATTTATCTTTAAAAAAATCACGACAGGGATTTTGTGGAAGCGGCCGACGTTTATGCGCTGAATAAGTATTTATAAGGAAATCGAATAATTTCCGCATACAAACCACAACCACCAATGGACGGATAAAAATATTTAAAGTATCTATTGTCATGTTTGTTTCTCGAAACTTCGAAAGTCGTTCATACGATCCATGCACAGTTGATGTGTTAACCGCTTATTAAAAATTTAAGGGTTTAGGACACAGAGGTATTAAAATTGTGCATCGCGGTTCCCTCCAGGAACGCCGCAGCGGAGAGCTGGAGTGAACTTACTGACCAGTGATTGAACAGTAAAGGTGGAACACCAGGCCCCTCAAGAATTTGTTTGCTATCCAAATGTATTCATAAATTAGTTTTCAGTATCATATTTATTATTTACACAGTTTAGATTTGAAGATTGATACAACTGTTTATTTTTAAACTAATATTAAGATATCTATATAAAATATTAAACATATTAGTTAATTAAAAAAAAGTGAAATCCTAGTGATTGGACACTTCAAACCTAGTGTTTGAAACTTTGAACACCTACAAATATTTGTAAAGACAATATTTGTATTTAATATAATTCGTGAATAATGAGTAGTACTTTTATTAAAAAATAACACAAGTCTTAAATATACACATATTATATACTTTTTTTTACCGACAATCGTTTACAAAATTCAAACATTTCTCATGGCTATAAATAGCTCAAAAAGGGTTAAAATATTTTCAAATTTTCACCAAATATAGAACATACTAGTATAAACATTTGGTGAAAATTTCATGTGTCTACGATTATTCTTTTATGAGTGCATGATCATTAGGTTTATTATTGAAAAATTAAAATGAAAATTATTTATTCAATTAGGTACCCAACTTTCCGAATTTTAAAGCATTTTGTTGGTGTTATTAAATTAGTGTTCAATAACTGGACTGTTCATCTGGGTCAAAGAACTTGAAACCAAAATTAATGTAATACTTATTGAAATTTATATATCATATTTAATCATTATAGAGATTATGAACATTTGAAGTTTTATTTCTATACCTAAGTACTTAGGTACTAAAGTAATTATTGTGTATTGTCGACGGTCACCGTTGATTAAAATGTCACCAAAAATTTGGGAGCCATCAAAATATTGTGAAGACTCAAAGGAGCTAGGAGATGAAAAAGTTTGAATACCTCGGGTATTAGGGTAGTAATGCGTATGCACCATTTTCGATATCTACCGAATATTTGTATAATCTGAAGAAACTATTTTTTGATTAAATAAATAATAATATACATTTATAGAGCATAAAATCATTACTAGATCCAGTCTAAAAAAAATATCTGTTAAAGTTAAAGAAAAAAGCACATTCCAAATGACATATATTTTAAGAGCCATCAATATTGTTGTTTAACTTTTTTGTAATTGAAATGTTTCTCGGACACTTCTCGATAACTTCTTTCGGATAGCATTTATTTACGTTGAGAATTATATCAAAACACGTTGATAAACAGTGGCTCACAACACCTAGGTATGAAATATATGATTCAAATAGTTAAACCACCCACCTACCTGTTTAACTATTAATTGCATGCATTTTAGATTCTGAGTGGAACGAAGAATGTATTGATTTTACAATGATGTGTGTTTTTTTATTTATTTTTTTTTTGTGTCTGTGTACACGATTAGTAGTCGAAATAATGCTTCGATTTTCAACTTCAGTATCTTGTACGATGAGAAAGTGAATCTAGTTGGTACTTTTGTGAGGTCAAAATTTAAAATTCCCAATAGTTTTCAAAAGCTCCAGGAAAAACAAAATAAAAATTAAGGAAAAACGGGATTTTTTATGCAAAATCGATTTTGGCTTTTGGTGTAACTTTAAAACAAATGACCTTAGATACATGAAATTTTCACTGGTTGTTTATATTTGCATTTATTTCTATACACGATAAAATTTTCAAAATATTTTAATTTATTTTGAACTGTCTATTGACATTTTCAGTTTCCAATTTTATTACTTTTTCTTTCTATGAATGTCAATAAAACTTTATTTGTTGAGTAAAAATACTTGAAAATTTAAGACAAAGCTCCTACTATATTGTTACATTGACATTTAAAAAATATTTAAAAACTTAGTCACTGGTTTTTTTTATAAGCATTTAAAGTTCAAATCTTGACAAAACATTGAAAAATTACGAAAATTATCAAATTATTTTCAGTGAAGAATTCATAAAAATTTTTCTTTTTAAATCTAAGATATGAAAATATAATACAAGATTCCGTATAAGTTTGTCTACTTTTATCAAAAAAAAAAATATATTCTTAAGAAAGTCAAACTACATTTTTATGAGCTTTTGAAATTCAAATTTTTACAACATTGGATATTCACTTGATTTCTCATGTAACGATTTTCTTATTTTATTGTAATTCAAAAACGAATAACTGTAGAGTGTAGATACATGAAAATTTCACTGAATGTTTATTTTATCGATTATTATACGTGAATCATATTTTTGATTTGTTTTGAACTACTGCTAACGGACCACTTAACGTGTTTTAAAAAAAATTTGCCAGCCATGAATTTGAGTAAAAGAATATAATATATATTTGTATATAATGTATATATTTAATTAATAATTATTTAATATTTATTATTTAGGATAGTGATTTCAAGTTTTATTATTTTAATATTTTATAATTTTGTATAACTATTATATTGTTTTTATTTTTTTCCATTTATTCTACTAAAAGAATGTTTAAGATTATTAATAAAAAATAAATGAATTATCCTCACGGAAATCTAATATGTTTTGATATTTCACATAGTTTATATGTTACATCGGTTATATTTGGTTTTCAAGATTTTTTATATCGGCTCATGGAACTATCGGCTATCGGTTTTAGATCGGAAATTCAAATAGGAATATCGGATATCGGATAAAAGTGTTATCGGCCCACATCTAATTATAATATTATATTCACCTACAATAATCATAATTGTACAATTTTAGTTGGTAATATAATATTTAGAGGAACCACAGCTTTGCGTGACCGAGTCGGGGTTGACTGTGTTTCTAATTCGGATTCGGCGTAGACTCACTTTGATGTAAACAAGCATTTCAGCTTTATAATTGTGTTTTCTTGTACTTTGTTAGCAACATCAAATTATTTAGCTTAATTGTAATATTTTTATTAATTATTATATTATTTACCGGTTTCAAACGAAGCATCGAAACACAAATGGCCTTTTTTTGCTTTGCCGCTATGACCAACCGGCCTCATGATTACTCTTGTAACATTTCCTAGTCCGGCTTCACCTTCGTCACTGTCTATTATAATTAACACGATTAAAACACAATTTAAATACCAGCAAATAAACATAGGTTTCTATATACAAGAGTGGGAAATAATCTACTACAATATAATGAGTTTTCTTAATACTATATGTTACCTGAAATTACCAACATCATTTGTATAATATTATCATAAAATTCAATAGAGCCGACGTATGAACATCAATGTTTTAATTCTTTATTCAAGTACATTATATTATTTTGTGAAGTGTTTTCAATGATTTTTCTTTACCATTATTAATGAGTTTTTAAATATAATATTTTAATTTTGACAACAATTTTAGATAAAAAACAAAACATTTTAGGATTAAATATGTTTATGATAATAAAACGTGTAGGTGTGTACCTTCAAAATATTGGGAAAAACAAATTACGAAATTATGGAACGGGAATATATAGCTTAATTAATTAAAAATTTCTTAAGAAATACTCTGTATCAATTCAAATTTAAAACATGCATTTTAATGACAAGTTCAATGACGCGGTACACTCAAAACCTACTTTATTGTAGGCTGACTTATTCATTATTTAAAATAATAAATTATGAATTAACGTTGAATTATTTTATTTTTTTTTGATAATTTTTTGGGCTCACAGAGTCAGGGATGGATCCAGGAGGGGGTCTAAAGCCACCGCAAACATATTTTTTTATAAATATAATTATTATAGGTATATTAAATAACAAATAAATAAAATTTAAACTTCTTTTCACATTGTCGCTTTCTATATTAAATAATCAATAATTTATTTATCACATTGATTACCTATATCTATTATTATGACAACATTTTTAAACTAAGAATAAAGTATAATATTTTATTATAATAATTGTATTTGTGTTGTAAAAATTGTTGCCCCCTCCCCCAGATCTTTGCTCTGGATCTGTGCCTGCATTGAGTGTTTGAAAGTATTTGAAAAGTCTTTATATCCTATGTTGGAAACTGATAGCAAGCCAGTTATCTGGTATTATACTTTGATGTTTTTGTACGTTCTTATTCTACTGTAGTTGAAAAACAGTAAAAAAACTACCATCGGCAATAAGCTAAAAATGATCAAATAATGTTAAAGAAATCTCTGATGCGTATTATAGAATTTAAACTCGCCAGTTTTGTAAAAGATACTTTTTAAAAGTATTCAAGTAAAGATTTTTATTTGTAAAGTATTTAAAATACGTATTTGAATACTCAGTAAAAAAATGATTTAAATGCAAATACAAATACTTTAAAAAAGTAAATTTAATTAAATTATTTTTTAACATTTTAATGTTTTACATTGTATTATTTGGTGTAACTGTAAATTATTATATACCTACTTTCTTTCTTAAAATATTAGTTAGCTATAGCTCATATAAAAAATATATAGGTATTATTTTATACCTAGGCAGTGGCATATATCGAAGGTTCGTGATCGTTTTAAATTTAGAATTATAATATTATATCATTATATTTAGACTTTAGAGTGAAGCTGCGTGTGTTTGCACTGAGTTTATGTGTTCGATTTGAATTTTTCAGAAATCTTATATGATTGGGGGACTTGAGTGGATAGGAAAAATCAAATTATTATTACAGTGACCCTACTCAATGGCGACTCGTGACTCACGAGGTGTATAATCGGAATCTACTATACAGCAGAAGTGAGTCCAAGTGTTTCTTTTCTTATAATAATTAATAATTATTGTATTTATAGTTAATTCCTTCGCTATGACTATTCTAGTAGTAATAATAATAATAATAATACTAATAATAGTAATAATATTTCGGGGAGTACGGCGAGTGATACATTAGCTGGTGCAGTGCATAATAATATAATGTAATAAAAATAATACAGTGTACAATAATCGTAGTGTATCATTACCAGATTCGTAATCCGCCATTTCGGGTGTTTACAGACAGGACACCGGCGCGTAACTATGAAGTCCAGACGCGTACAAACGACTAAAACGAACGTTGTTCTAAATTATTTACGAAAAGGATTGAAAGAAATAATAAATGTACAAGACTCGTGTTTGTTGTCATGTCACCCGTCGCCTGACGAATATTCACCTGCGCAAAGGATACGTCCTGCGTTATAATATTATTGTATATTATTATGTATTTATATTGTGCTTTACTATAGGGTCTATTCGAGGACAGGGCTTATTGGTTATGATTATGACTTATATTATGCCTATACGCAGCACGTAAAGTATTAGGTTTGTGTATTATTATAGTGGTCGTAAAAAGAAGCACAATAGGACGAGGGTTATACTGAAAACCTATATTATACCTACAGCGTAATGTAGTTTGTTTCCATATTTTTTCTAATAGTGGTTATTACTTATTAACTATTATAATATTAAACATACAATGCAATTTTTTTTTATCTCTAAGCAGAAATTTGGAAAAAAAAAATGGTAGCTACCTACCTATTAGCATTGCGTATAATATATTGTTTATACTCACTATTATTAGGTATATTATATAGGTACTCAATGCTATTAGGTAGGTAAATATTATTTTTCCATCGTTTTAATATTTTCAAATTGTTCACTTTTTTAAATGCCGATATGACGATTTTATATTTTATTTTTTTCTGGGGGATTTCAATGTGTATATATTTATTACACTATTTTTAGTCCGATCCAACTTTATACAGCAATTTTTACAATAATATTCAATGAAACTTGATTAAAATATGAAATTTATTGTAAGCTCAAAATAAATGTCTTTTTTATTTTTGGTGAGAGCAGGTCACTTCACTTGCATTTGTTGCCTGCGCCTTACAATTAACGCCTTAACAATTAACATTTAACAGCAAATGTATGCTAGCAGTTCACGTTTAGCTTCTTGCAGAGTTAAAAATTTAGAGCGAATTGACCTAGGTGTACTGAAACTTAATGGTAGGTAAGAACATTATCTTTGTTCATACGTTGGTTTCTTACGATGATTCATTTTTCTAGAAACTTTTGGGTTTATAAAATAGCAGAAAAAACCGATTTACAAACACAGATAATATTCCTACCATTAAGTATAATAATAGGTTGATTCACTTTAATTTTTGAAGTAACAAAGCTAGACATGAACTGCTGAGCGAACATTTATAAGACGGTGGTAATTAATTGTGTCGTCTTTTAAGTATAACTTATGGAGTGTTATAAAAGCCTTTACAAAAGCATAGTATTGCATTTAATAAATTGTTAGTTGAACTTTTTTTTTTTTTTTTATTAGATAAAAATAAGTATTTACAATCTGTAATATTTATATAAAACAATAAGTAAATTTGATAAAAGAAGGTAAAACACATGAATAGAGTGAGGAGGGAGGCCCACCAGTGTGGATACCCTCTAACTTGAGGCGAACTTTTTTTTAAAATGTTTTTAGAAAATATACATATTATTATGGATGGGCGTATCTAGGCATTTGAAACTAAAAGGTTGTAGAGTCACCATAAAATGTAAATGTCGATTAATGTTTTTTTTGTGGTCCTCTTACATATTGTGGTATAAACTAAAAGGTAAGATAAATAAATAACCATACAAAATATTGTGGGTTGGGGGAGGAGGGTATAACATATGTCAGCTCCCTCAAAGAAACCCACCTAGTTACGACGCAAATATAGAAATGTAAGATGTGGCCTGGGTAATACATTTTCCCTGTCTGAATTTTTCTCCCAGGCCGTCCCTGGTGTACAAGCTATCTCAAAATCACAGTTATTGTCTTGTAAGAAATAATTGGTTCGGTGAAACGTGTAATTTGTTATTTTTAAGTTCCATAATTAATGCAGTCTCGATCTTAAAATTGCTTTGAATTGTAACAGCTGAATTATCACTCAAAATCCACTGTATGGACACAAGTTCAGAAAGATTCAATTCAATAAATTTTTTTTTAGGGCGTGTGTATAAAAGTACACCCCATACATAATTTAGAATTTAGGTTGGGTAGTTTAAAATCGAAGCATGTCTACTCTTCCATTAGGTGATGAAGGACAAAATAAAAAATACACACACACACACAGATATCATTGTAAAGTCAATAGATATATTTATCGCTCAGCTCGAAATACAAAAAATTAAACACTAATAAAACTCGATTAAAGTCGCATTATATTTGCTACGAATTCCCACTTGGTTCACTTCGGACGGGTATAAAGACAAAAGACTGCGCTCGACTAGATTATAGTATAAGGGTGGGTAGGGAGTAAGGACTCTGCAAAATTACGAAATAACAATTTATCATAGTTATATAACATACATCATAATAATATGGTGGACAGCGTATTACCAACAAAATTAAAACTAATTTACGACTAAAACTTACATCAAGGTTGACCCTTCTAAATATATATATTATTACCTAAATATAACTAAACAAGTACATAATAGTAATAATAACACGTAACTTTTAGTGCGGTAAAATAAATGCTATAACTACACTTTATCGGGAACCGTTTTATTTTTGCAATATTTTTTTTTTTTTGCATTCTATCAATGATTCACGAAATGGTAGAACTGCCATCAGTCTTACTGCTTTTGATCTCTCGTTGGAAAGCTTATTATTGGTAGCCGATGTGTACAAAAACTATCGTTGCCATGATCACAGTTTCAATCGCCAAACAGCACAAACCACGTGACTCAATACGACAATATTATTAACACGTAATAGATGGGCCTGCTGACCATATAATACATTATATACAGGGTGATTCATCAAGCGTGCTACATTTTAGATTCTGAGTGGAGTGATGAATGTATTGATTTCACAATTTGTGTTTTTTCATTTGGGCCTGTATGCTCGAAAATAAGGTGAGCGTAGCTTCAGAAAATTTTTTTTACGAGCGTTATCTTAAATTAGAAGTTTGAATAAATTCTATTCTTTATAATAACAGTTCAAAAATATTAACAAATATAGGCACATTGAGGCCAATTTGTTAGTTTGAGTATGTTCTAAGACTTCCGTAAATCTTTAAGCCAGTACTTGTGGTATTACCGTTTAAACTTTAAAGTAATATTATAATATCGAAATTCAATAGGTTATATTTAATCATGTATAATTTTCAAGAGTGTTAAGTTATGATTTAATCATTACATTTTGTTTGTATCTCCACAGGACACTAGTTAAGTTGTATTATAATCTCAAGAATTTGAAAATATGGTTTTTAAGTGTATTTAAACATTCTAAAAAAACAGATTTCGTATAACTGAATTATTGAAGAAAAAATAGGGTGAGCTTGCTTGGTGATTGGTGAATCATCCTGTATATTAAATTACACGCACCCCAACCGACGTAGTTATATCATATACGAAATAAAACTGGCCGACATAAAGTATAGACAAATGCGTAGGCATTGAATAATAATATTATGATCGGGACGTTTTATTAGGTACAAATTTGGAATAATTTATTGAATGAATATATTATAATCTTAGATTAACTTAAAATTATAACAATTATTATTATTTTGGAATAGATGAAAACAATATTTGGTGTTCAATTCAAAGCGTGGCCTATTCTCTTTCTCTTTGATAAAAATATATTATATACCTATATTGTATTAGTGTATTAGTCATTAAAACTGAGGAATTTTAATAGGTCATGAAATCAAAAATCAAAATATTTTAGAACCGCTGATCCGAATACATTTTTTAAAATCAATCTTGAAATGGTTTTCTATTTTAAAAAAACCTGTAATGTTGTGTGGTTCAAAGTGTGATGAAAATAACTAAATTACATAAAAAAACAGGTAAAAAAGAACACGTAAAAAAATAAATTGTGAAAAGCAAGAGGCAGACAACTGACAATATTACAAAATATGTTATACTTTATTGTTGTGAAAATCTTGTAAAATTAATAAGCGAATCGCAGCTTATGATGAACGTGAACATATTAAATTGAAACCTAATAGGAAAAAATTTGCTTAAGACCCTGCAGTCTTGGAACATTTTTAAAATTCAGTTCCTTAAAATTTAAAAAAAATAATAAGTTAAAATAACATATCAATAGAAATAATTATAATATTTATAGAGCATAATTTTGAAATAAAATCAATAATATAATATAATGTAGTATAGGTTTTGAAATTTTTGATTCTTTGTCGACTCTGTAAGTGCATTGTTGTCTGTACTAATATTGGTTATATTCAATACAATCATGAATCACCTTAACAATGCCTGTAGAAAATAAGCTGGATACATATAGACATAAAATAGTATATAGAGTTTAATATAGAAGTAACTCAATTTTTTTTCGACCCAAAATTGTTTATTCGTTAAGTTCAACGGCTTACAACAAGACTTGCGTAAACATAACGTACTGCTATAATAGGCTGCACATATTGATAAAATAAAATTGGCCGCATGACCGGTCATGGAAAAATGATTTTATCTGCAAATATAAAAAGAAACCCATTCATGTAAATAATGTGTATAGATAAATTATACTATGCATAAAAATGGAGATCATATATTATTTTAAGTATACTTACAGTAAAAATATATGTAATTTTTGAAGATTTTTGACGATTATATAAAGTGTGAGGCACTGCTGGATAATATTGTCCCACTGATTAGTTATATAATACTTATAAAGATTTCAGCAGTTTTAAGCGTGGAATTTTATACCTTTAATAAATCGAATTTTACTACAGGCTAAATTTTATATTTTTTATACTACACACTTTTTATTAATACCTGCTACTATACATACAAATTATGTACTTACCGTTGGGGATTTACCCCTTCTCCTACCAGATTGCATACCTACAAAAACACGTGACTGCCTACGAGAAACATGCTATCAGTCTGACTGTTTAGGGCAGTAAATCAGCAAATTAAATTTTTAACTTCTTTTATGTCGACAGTCGATAACCATCTATGCTTTACTGATGAAATTAAAAATA